TAATTGCAACATGAATATCTCAAAGCTAACTAATTGACTTATTGCAATCAAATCTAATGGATCTATTTAGTTATATCGATCTAAATAATTATGTTTTAAATATCAATAAACAGAGAGGATTCGCGGAGGTTAAAGTGGTGAAGAAAGCGCGGAACCTCTTCATTTGCATAGAACTTGACGCTATACAGTGTTTGAGTTTAGACGAGGGTGGCGACCTTGATCGGATGTGAAAAGCACAGAAAATGCAAAAGTGATATCATAGTATCGACAGTAAAAAATTGCAGGGGTACTGGCACCTAAAACCATACAAATACAGTTGTTTGAAAGTCAAGAATATCCTTGTTCAGTTCAATTTAAAATAACAATGCAAATAACAAAACATTGAGACAATAATATTGAAAACTGTCTAAAATTTTAAAAAAGTTCTCTAGGAACCACTTACGATAAACAATTCAAGATATCATTCCAGGGTTATATTCCTAAATGTCTCTATCTTGTCGTAAAATTAGTATAATTATCATTTTAAACTGCTTAAATGGTATATTTTTGAGATTAGACTGAAAAACAACTTTCCAGGTATTGTCCCAGGTATTTGGGTAGATACTTGATAAACATCCTTGTTTTCATGTATAAATAAAACAGTACAATGTACTACGTTGGCGAAGAACGTCCACTCTACCACAGTAAGTAAGTTTTTGGGTTTTGAATTATGTAAGAAGTAGAGTATTTGCAAAAAACTAATGTTAAATCGATATTTTCAGGAGGATTCGATGGCGCAAAGAAAGTGACACTTGCACTAGGGACAACACTAGCGGCAAATCATTTATATAAATAATCAAAAGCAGGTAGACCACCACCACCAAATACCGAAACATGTTATCGACATATAATTCTATTAATTTTAAAGTATTGATTGATAGTAAAAAAAATCTCTTTAAAAGTATCTTGGATTCCTCTGTTTCATAGTCAATTAAATCTCGCACCCTGCTTTTGTTATGTGCTATATCAAACGCATCATTAAATTACTATCTTTTTAGGTCCCTAAAGAAAGATATGGTTTCTCAATGTTTTTTAATTTGTCTGTTTTCACTCTTTCGCAGATATGTAAAAGAATTAAAATTCACCAGTCTTTGTGGGGGCATAATACCCTTCAATAATCTGAAATAATTCACAAAGCCATAAGCCATCAAATGGCTTATCCTGTTCCTAGTGATGTGAAACTTCTCTAATGGTAGAAATGTAGATTGAAGGCGGAAAATATATATTTTTTCGGTGAAAAGCCTTAAATCAAATAAAGCATCAATTTCCATCTCCGCAAAAGTTTACGCCATTACACCCCCCAGCACACAAAATATCGAGGCTCCGCACGAACGAGCAATTGCCATCAAAACGTTGGCACAGCAAATAAATGACGAATGACTTTACATAAGATCATGAACATGCCTGACGTAAGCTACGTTCCTCATTAATTACCTATTCAGGGTTCTTACTACGGTATACGCAATGAATAAAAAATTACGTTTATTTTACTTAAAAGGTTTTAATAAAACTTCAGCAGGTTTGATAAAAACAATTTTGAGACCTACTTTCACGCCAGACTACTTTAACTACCTCGCAGAGTCGATATTCACACTGGAAATTACATAAAAACCAAACAGAATTAAACATTTACTGCCGCACCTGCGTCGTGCATATTTGAGCGCCTTTTACGGGTGCTTCATCTCTGCTGAATAAAAAATGTGTATATACGTACGGAATTTTCCATTGCAGCGAGGGGGAAATAATGCAATGTCCCGTACAGTAAAATGTAATGAATAATATATGTTCTCAAGTAGGTTAATGGCAAACGTCAAAGGGAAAGGAAATTCGTAACACTGCGGATCAAAAAAAGACCACGCAGTCAGAGACATTTATTCGATGACCCACTTGCGCCATATTTTTTGACGCACTTCGACTTAATGGTCCTAAACTATACGGCAATCGTGGTTTTATATAATTAGGGGGAATAAAACTTAAAAGTTCAGGGAAAGGACTTTAAATTTTCACTTTCTTCGTTCTCTCACCGCAGGAAGACAGGAAAAATCAATATGCTTAAATTATTGAAATAGGCATTTGACTCACGAGTTTATTTGATACGAGCGGAGCAAGTGTTTAATAAACGAGTGAGTTAAAAAGTTTACCGAACGTGTTGCATACTATACTTTTTCTACGACCGTTAGTTTTTGGGTACATTTTCGCAAAACACGAATACATTCACTGACATGATTGTCAGAATTGACAAACGTTAAAATTCAAAGCGTGAGAAATATCTCCCGTGCGATAAAATTCGTGGGAAACGAAACTGAAGTGGTAAAGCGACGCTTCCCGCACGCTAGATCGGTGCATAATTAGGTATTTTACAGACGGGAGTAGAATTTTTTTTTTTTTTGTTTACAGATGATATAAAAATATCGCTGAAAAATATTTCTTTACGATTTGATTCAATAAATTTACCACTACTATGGACATCCTTCGAAGTAAACAAAAAAAATTCGCTGTCATTATCAAAAATCAAAAAAATAAATGTTTTTAACCTTTTTTCGTCAATAAGTTAGTTAACAAAACGTTTGAAAACCTGTTGGTACTCTAGTGATTAATTCTGGAGCTTTTTATGAAACAAATCTTTGAAATAATGCCGTGCTATGTCAAAGTGAAAGTAGCGACTTTTTCCTTGTATCAGTACTATTTAGCTCGGTAGGAGATACAAATTTTTTAGGGATATAAGACGCCTGATTCGTTTTTAGTTTTTAGTGAGTAAGATTGAGGAGTTGAAGGTATCTTAAAGATTTAAGTCACAGATAGTTTTGTTCGCATATAACGAGACTCATTCTGGTATACTTTCTAATATAAAAAAAGCTTTTCCAGTAAGCAGTAAGCTGTTATACTAAACCGCTTTCTTTTTTATGCTTTGTTATGAGTTTCATCCATTATGCCGAACTACTTGCCATAGTGAAAAATGGAAAATATCAATATTAATCAATTTATTAGAATGGGGGTGTCACCACCCTTGATTTGAATTGTTGCCAGGTTGACCACGTATCAAGATTTATATAAAATCTAATTATTGGTAGATAGGTCTGTTGTCTAACTAGTTCCTTCAATGTTCGCTATTTGGCGATAACTTTTAAAGAAATATTCCCAACTGGTCATGTTGTTTCCGATTGCATACAAATTAAAATAAGATTCTTTTTAAGAGAAAGAGAGGTGCAGATGAAATGTAAATTGTAATATATTTTTTATTTTTATTGTTGTTCAGCCGATTAATCTTTACAGATATATTTATAACATTGGAAACCAACGTTTCTACATTTCTTGACTCTTTCTCTTCTAGATAAGTAGCATCTGCAACATCTACAAGCCCCGAAAAGCCGTCTTCTTTTGATCTTTGATGTCTTGCATCTTCAAAATATGTGTTGCTTTACTGACATTTTCTTTTGGTTATAGGTTTGGTTTCTCACAGTCTAGAAGCATATCTCCAATGTACAGTGTGCAGCAAAATATTAGAAAAAGGCCAACGGTTAGTCCCAATTGTTATTGTATATTGTTTACTAGTTTTATCGGTACAATGTACTTCTCTTTTAGTTTATAAATTTGAAGTATTCGAAGTATAACCTCTGATTTAGAGCTACACTATTCGCCTCATACTGCATTTTCAAAATATTCCCCAGAATACAAAATTACCGATTTATTTTTTCATAGCATGCAAAATAGAATGTTTGGTTGTTAACTCTTCCAACAAATCTCGACATTTTTAAACTATGCAACAGGCAAACACAGTACAAATTTTGACGTGCTAGAATTATGTCAGATCTTTTACATATAGATATTGCCAATTGAATCCCAGGGCTTAATTTCTTTATTTCACTTAATAAATGTATTTAAAAAACTATTGTTATAAGTAACTTAAAGAGCGAAAAACAATATTATTGCTTGCCAAAAAATATTTTGAAAAAACTAAATTTGAGTTTCATTTCAACAGTAAGATGGTTAATCAATGTATCAAATTCGTTTCTTCAGCTTTTCTCTCTGTAGTTTTTCCTCTCGATATATTTGCCAAGCTTATAGGTAAAATTGTTAATGGAAAATAGTTACCTAATACCGGTATCCAAAATTACAAATATCTGTTTGACTGCGCGAGGCAGATCCCACATAGAAGTTAGCGAACAGCCGGGAGCAATATTCCCAAACTAAACTTTGCTTCGGCGGCAAACGAAAGACCTATTTTGGGATCGCTTATTTCGGAGCCATTGTCTAAGGGTTTTTTCATAACGGAGAATCAAACTTTTGCGCTTTCGAAAGCGGCATCAAACAGACAATACAATCCGTTCGTTTTTTTGTTGTTGTTGTTTGCTCTTAAAATTGTTTGTTGGAGGTTGCAGAAGCTCCGGAACATGAAACGTTGAGTTCCAAATCGAGTTCGAGGACGAATTCTGACGTTTTTTCTGGTCTTTATTTGGATACCGGTGCATGTAGGCAGACAAAGGGCTTTTTGTTTCTAACTTTCGAGATACTTGATATTTGATTATCAAATATTTATAGGATTAGTAAAAAATGACAACAAAGAAAACGCTGAGTTTCGGTTTCGCTATGAATAATACCATTAAAACGGTAGCTAGTAAAGTGGTACCCCATTATGCCAAATATTTGATTTTTTAACTAGTTGGACCATGCATGTTATTAATATTTAAGACTAGTATGCTAAGAGAAAATCATGAGGCACCGACCATTGATTTATGCCAGTGAACATATGTTGCTTATTGTACAGCAGAATAATTGATATATGCTGTTAGACCTAAGTAATACTACTGTTTACGAAACTTCTGGATTCCTCCTGCGTCGGTTATTGTTGAGTCGAACTTGCTGACGTTTCGCTAATCATCCTGTTGCCTTCTTCAGAGCTATTCTGAAACTGGCTCTTATTCTACTCTGTACTTGCTTATACAGGGTGCGGCAGCATAACTTCCTTTTTTCAAAACTCAATAAAAACTATTGTGTGCATCGGAAAATCTTTATTTATTTTTTATAATGTAGGTACATGTCTAAAGTTTTTATTTACATTGTTTTGAAGATCAAATCTGTTAGGTGACGTCCCTCATTCTCCATACATTGCGTAAACCGATATCTGGCGTTTGTCATGACTCTTGTTAGCATAGCTGGTGTTATGTTGGCAATTTCTTCTTTGATGTTGGTCTTCAAATCTTGTAGGGTTCTTGGACGGTTCACATAAACCAGGGATTTCAAAAAACCCCATAGAAAAAAATCACAAGGGGACAGATCGGGAGAGCGTGCCGGCCATTCCAAATCGCCTCTAATTGAGATAAGGCGCTCTGGAAAGTGTTCCCTCAAAACAGCCATCGATGCTCTTGAAGTGTGTGCTGTTGCACCGTCTTGTTGGAACCAAGTGTCCCCCAAATCCAACTCTTCTAGCCGTGGGAAAAAAAAATTCTGTAGCATGTTTACATACCGGTCCGAATTCACTGTCACTGTAACCTCATTTTCCTCAAAAAACCAGGGACCAATAATTCCAGCTGAGGAAATTGCACACCACACTGTGACTTTGGGTGAATGCAAAGGCCTTTGATGCAATTGTCGAGGGTTGGTGTCAGCCCAGTAGCGCATGTTTTGTTTGTTAACCGACCCACATAAATGAAAATGGGCTTCATCGCTAAAAAAAACAATAGCACCCTCGGGAACGACATCAAGAAGAAGCTCACACGCGTTCATCCGAGAATTGAAGTCACGTTCTGTAAGTTCCTGCACTATCGCCATCTTATAGGGATGAAAATGAAGATCATCACGAAGAATTCTTCTCACAGAACGATCGGATAGTCCAAGGGCAGATGCGTGTTTACGCGCAGAACGCCGTGGTGATCGCAACATTGAAGCTCTCACTGCTTCAATGTTCTCAGGTGATCTAACGGGCCAAGGGACTCCAGTTCTTCGTTTTGTCGCACTTGCAGTTTGTCTGAATGTAATGACCCATGTAACAATTGATTTGCGGTCTGGGACGGGAGCCAACGAGGCTAAATTAAAGCGATTCCGAAATGCACGCTGTGTTGCAACAACCGAACAACCGCTTGAAAAGTAGGCCTCAACGGCAAAGGCACGCTCCTCACTATTCCAACGCATGATGGCGACTGAACCGTGTCGGGACAAAACTCTACAGTACCCCCTCTTGAACGAGACCACTAGCGCCCGACTATGACATCAACTAACTGAATGGCGCGCATTTAAAAAAAGGAAGTTATGCTGCCGCACCCTGTATATTGTTTGAGGGGGGCGGAGCTAAATGAGGGGCATCAGCATCGTCTCGGAAGACCGATTCCCATATAGGTGACAGGTAACGACCTGAGTCGCGGATAAAATTGTTAGGTTACTCATAGATTTCTGTAGATTCTCAGATTTTTCGTTAGTAGAAGTATTGATTACATAGAGTGATTGTGTTCGGCAACTGCTGATGAGTTTGTCTTAGTCTTAAGGCTCTTTATCTATTTTGTGATGAAACGCTTAATATCTTTAATGAAGAGAAAAAAATATCAAATGTCGTGTCTATCCTAAACAAACTGCCACCGCAAACAGCTAATGAAATTCGATCTGAAACCGCAAAAGTCCGTAAAAAATTAAAACCTCCAAAAATTCTAAAAGCAGATAAAGGAAATTCTACGTTATCTATGGAACGCAACCTTAAATCTGTTATTAAGGCTTCTTCTCTATTAGACTCCGTGTCTTCGGACTCCCTAAGATTCACAAACCAGGATTACCCCTTCGACCAATTGTCAACACCATTGGTTCCTCGACATATTCTCTAGCAATATATCTAGCTTCCTTATTAAAACCCCTTACAAAGAAAAGTGATAGTTTCGTACTTAATTCCTTTCACTTCATTGAACAATTAAAAAGCATTACATTAGATACACAAGATATTCTAGTTAGTTTCGACGTAGAATTCCTCTTTCCCAAAGTTCCTATTCTTGAAACTCTCAACATCATTTCAGATATATTAAAATCCGAGAATCTGAAACAAAACCTTCTCACCTTAATTGAAAAATGCTTGTCTGGAACATATATATATATATATATATATATATATATATATATATATATATATATATATATATATATATATATATATATATATATATATATATATATATATATATATATATATATATATATATATATATGATGACACTATATTCCGGGATATCATCCGTTCGCTCGTTGAACTCCGACTGGAATCCTGCATCCGACTGGAATCCTGCAAATCTTGCATCCGACTGGAATCCTGCAGACGTTTCGCCAAAATCTCACTTGGCATCTTCAATGCTCGCGCTCCGAAAACACTTCGAGTGTTCGAAGTGTTTTCGGAGCGCGAGCATTGAAGATGCCAAGTGAGATTTTGGCGAAACGTCTGCAGGATTCCAGTCGGATGCAAGATTTGCAGGATTCCAGTCGGAGTTCAACGAGCGAACGGATGATATCCCGGAATATAGTGTCATCACATTTTTCCATCCGTGAATCAATACGTGAGAATATATATATATATATATATATATATATATATATATATATATATATATATATATATATATATATATATATATATATATATATATATATATATATATATATATATATATATATATTATATTTATATTTATATTTATATTTTATATTATAATGTTGCAAGAAAACCTGCTTTTTTGAAGCTGAATATATGGTGGTAAACCTAAGTTTCATCTACAGTAACGAGTTTTATATTTTTTGAGTATCTCGCTCAATAATGGTATGAAATTGTTTCAAACTAAACCGGTTTCTATTGGGATAGGATAATTCAAACTGACGACAGGGTGGACTCTAATAGGCCAGATATCCTATAAATAGACGTCATATTTGAAAACTCAAGATCCAAATGCATGGAAACCGTATTTATGAATTTAAAAATTTCTGCAAACTAAATGGAGTTGGAAGAAATTGCAAGCAACGAACTCTCAAAAAATTTAAAAGTGCTGGAGTTACCTGGAAAGACATCGGACAAAGGGCAGTTTTACTGCAAACTTGCGATATAGTTCGGGTACCTTTAACCTAGAGGAAACTGTTTTCTCCCTAGAATATAAAAACCGCACGCCAAAATAATGGTAGGGTAGAACACGCTACTAATAATAATAATAAAGAAGTGTATTATAAAATTTAAGGGACACAATAAAATTTATAAACATGAGGATCTAGATTCAGTGTACCGGTCTGTGATATTTTGTACGTTTCTATTATTGGAGAGTTACGTCAGTTTGTACGAACCATTCATTTGTAAATCAATAAATAAATTCATATAGAGGTGCGCAAACATATAATGGGCCCCAAATCGTTTTTTTTTATTATTTCTGAAATAGATACCTTGAATCTGATGAAAAATCGTAAAATATTTTTAGTACGTAGTTATTTCCGAAACAACCACTGTTCCCTGATATAGTTCGGTCTTGCGCATAAAAATAAGTTAATAATAATTTATTCGGTTAGCTAAATCCTCAAATTACTCCAAAATCACTAACTTTTTGCACTTTAGGCAATTTTCTCAAAATAATTTTTGCCCAAAAAAAAAAAATCCATGGTTTCAAGTCGCTTGAGAATTGTGAAAAACGCTTAAATAAAACCTTCCCGGCAATGTAGACGGACTGGTGACAATTTTAAAGAATAAATTAAAATTGCCGCCAAACGGCTTTGTTGCTTTAAATTGATGATAAGAATCCTATTTCCTTGGTTAGGTGCATAAAATTGAATTATAAACCTCGGCCTTTTGCCAGCTAGAGGATGAGGTGCTAATGGGCTCGCTCCCGACGTAATAAAATATCTTGTTCATAAACGCGAAACGGGATACCGGCATAACTTTGCTCCCGAGTTATTTCCACACCGAATATAATTCTGGGAAAATCATTTGGGTGCGCCCTGGCTTATTTTATTATACTGAAAACTGCTCGTCGTAAGTTGCTAATTATGTCATTAGCATTGTCGTTTAAACGCACTAAAGGATTAAAAATTTCGAATTTCTCTGGTTCATTCTTGTTCTATGAACTGCCGCCGTACCTTGAGGAAACTAGTTTTTTGTGATGAAAATTTAGTTTACTGAACATAATATATTTTTGACTACACCGTTAAAACTGGGTATTGTTTATTTATTTATTTTTTTAAATTTGAGTGGCTGTGGAATGATTCGACCTGATGCAAAGCCGCGTGACACTTTTTATAGACTAGTAATTGACATTATCTTCCTATTTAAGCGGAAGCTAATAAAGCGACAGCATTGAAAAAATATCACATTTTCATTACAACCCTATGTCTCATTTTCTGCACACAATAATTATACGTACCATTCACCCTGGATGACGAACTACTACACTCATTCTGTCAGCAGCCATGTTGGTTGTTGAATGCCCCAAGGTCAGCGATTAAAAACAAGATTAAATCTCGCGCATGCGCATGTTGAATAATTTATGATATTCTCAAAATTGGCAAATCTTAACAGCTGAATCTGTATTTGTCGATTAGACAGATTTATTTGGCGCTGTCTGAATCAGTTTTCTTGTTGCAGCTAATTGTAACTATAAAGCAAAAAGCTGAAAATAACAAACAAAATTCTCAATCTAAATAATATTTAATTATTAAACATTTAATGTAGAGATTTCAACAAAAAAAATATAAAAAATAATAAGATAAAAATGCGCAGTCTAGAAAATATAAGCATTTAAAAAGATAGTCTTTTGTTAAAAAAATGTTTTAAAATTAATGAAAATTAGTTGTTGATATGAAAATACTATCATTTTTTGTTTCCATTATTATTATTTTCAAAGCAATGAGTACTTTACTGATGCTTGATATACGAAATTTGAAACGTCATATTTTTTCCGCTTTTGTCTGAATGTAGTGTGAAAATACCTTTAGTATACCATAAGAGGTTTGCGAATATACGTCAGTTTTGAACTCAAAAGGATCAAAAAGGAGCGTTAGGACTGCAAGGCCTCGGGGTTGATGGTTTAGAGTACATTTTCTAGTAAAATTATTCCGAGTGTTCTGGGTAGATCCGAATCGATTTCCTCCTTTTGTAGTTGTTTGGCGCTTAAGGTGAATATTTTCACGCCAGCGAATTATGTGTTAAAACTTCATATCACTCAAATGATAAAAGAACAGACCAGTAACGCGGTATAGCAGTTATTACAAAATTGGGTATTTCGAGTCTATTTTTAAACAAAATCACAAATATGAACTTCGCTGTTTGAAAAAGATCATATCCTGGAAAATTCTTACGCCCCAATTAAGGATATTGATTGCGTTGCCGCACGCCGAGTAAGTCATTTACGGAGAAATTGAAGTAAAAATAAGAGACAGAATCAAAACAATTGCAGTGAGCGTAGGTCGGATTGTAGATCGTGGCTATAGGCTATTTCAGAAAAATTTAATACAATGATCTATCGGACCTAACTAACATTTTACGCAGCTTAAGGTTTTATTATTGTTTAACGAACATTTATAAAAAGGATTATAAGAAACTCTTGATTTTATAGCAGAATTTATAGTTCTATAAGGCAAGCAAGGTTAGACTACTCATATATAACTAAATTTTTAAAAATCCAACCTAGCCAAAAAAAAATTTTCGTCTAGGAAATTTTCAGTTTTTGAATTGTAATAACATTTAAAAAGACATTTTCATAATAATGTCAATGTGAAAAATGATATAGCGAAAGGTTTTATAGTGGTTACGAAAATGTATTCCTTGCCGTTTTAAAACTTATATATGGTTTATAAACTTAGTTGCAAACAAATGAGGAGTAAAAGTTATATAGGGGACT